TTTGGAATATCGTCGAAGTATAACTCAGTAGCTTTTGGTTTTATCTAGGACGAGTAAGGCCTGTGGCTTTACAAAAACCAATATGTTGTCTTTTGCATTGCAAGCTATGCTTGTATTAGTACTGTCTGTAGCAAAAGTATGCTTAGTCTATTACAAGCAAATGCATAAGCCCATTTAGATAGCATTTCCCTGTTTTTGCAGAAAGTAGGTATTGTACGAATTGTAGGTGTGCTCTGTTCGATCTGCATATTACCCACATTCGGTATGATATATGATCCGGAAAGGTACATTATGTAATGCACAAAGTTCGTGAATATGCGGTAGAACTAAACGAGAACATCTGTATAAATAGGATTTTCTATCTATATGGTCTCATCTCTTGTCTTCTTCAATCACAACAAGTCCAGTTTTATCAAATAAAATAGTCATTTCGTAATTTTTTACAAAGCTACAGGGAAAAAAGTCAGTGAGGAGTATCATTACGTAAAAAATTTGTGACAGCCGAAGTTAAGAAACTAAAAATAAATTTTTAATTTTTTTGATATAAAATCACTTATGCTCCTGAAAACCTGTAAGTATACCTCACGCACAAACCAAATACGTTCTCAAACATAGCTTCACGTGAACAGTGCAATGGAACCATCGGAGCCGGCCGTAATAAGCCAAGCTTGAGTAGGGTGGAATATTGCTGCTAATATGGCGAGACCATTTTTTTGAGGTGAGTGCGAGCGCAACCGTCGCACGGGGACAAATTCATTCTCTTTCAACGGATCGTTGCTAATTCGGGCATAATATACGATTGCTGTTGCGTCGTCCGATACAGTTGCTATCAGCGGATACCTGTACAAATCAAGTCGTCTCAATGAATTCAAATTTCATTTAGAAAAAAATTCAAATTTCTGAAAAGTTCGTATAAAGAACCAAACGCTAAACATGCTTAAAACGCATAAATTCATCAATTCAGTCTAAAATCAACGTACCAACAGATGATACAGGAACTCACCGTCAGTGCTGCAATCACAGTGTCGAAACAAAATGAACAAATGAATTAAAAAATTACCTCCGGTGCTGAGCAACAGCGCGTACAGCTGCAGTGTGGTGGCGCACACATTTCCACGGCTTACTGGAAAGCTGCAGGTCGATCCATGAGAAGGTCTTGTCGTGACCACCAACAAACAAATTGTCTCCATAGGTGTCCACAAGCATGCAGCTCACCCACTGCGAACCCGTA